TAGAATTTAGAATAATCTAAATTGGACGTATACAGAAAGAGTTATGCTAGGATTTGTGAAACATGTACAGGCTGTCTGGCAGATTTCAAGAACACATTAGAAATGATGTTGGAATGTTAATGATGTTGGAATGCATATGTAGATTCATTCACCCTAAAATTATTACTGCATTTTACCTTCTAAGTGAACTTAAATTCAAACTAAGAATTTCCCTAATCTGAATGGTAAAATTTAGTTACATAAATATTAGTAAGAATTGCATCGCGGGTGCAATAGCTAGAGTATTTCCATGCAAGTTACTTTATACGTTATCACTGGTATGCGTTATTCCTCATTAGATATTTTCTAAATAATTCTTGTATTATCACAATACACATAATATGCTCCATTAAGGTTAGCCAGAAACCACGTAGATAAGACTATGTCATGACATAGGATAGCAGATCTGCGCCCCATACAGTTTGGTACTCCAGCTATAGGCTGTTGAGTGGATATGATTTATAAGCAATTGAGAATTCTCTGAACTTTCAACCAAAAAGATGTCTCAACTCTCTGAAATTTCAACCAGTTTCATACAATATTCATCCTATTTCATACAGTTCTTCTTATCACTTTGGTTTCACTATAACCTTTTGGAGTTATACAGTTACATTGATTACAAATTGCATATTCATACAGTATAATGAGCAGCAAGTACGTCAATGGAAGTATCATGATATGTGTGCTTACATGCTTAGTTATCCATATGTGTTTACGTGTTTATTGCTACATATGTATGTGCTTACTTGTTTCTTAATAAGTTGAGATATCCACTAAGCTTTATTTGCTCAGCGAGTTATTTATTTAACTCGTAGGTTTCGAGACTGGACAGTAGAGAGTCAGCTTACAACTGCTGGAGTTCATCTTTGGAAGACCCAGTCTTCAGGGTAGCTACTCATTTTGATATTTTGATTCTGTATATCCTATCCTTATCATGGCAAGTACAGGGCACAAAGTTGGGCCCATTTCAGTTTGAAAACTAGTATAATGTCTTGTAACTATTACACATTATTAATGTAAACAGCATCAGCATGATATTATAGTCAGCACACATTATGATATCAGCATGAGAGGACATAGGTACAACCAGTTTGTAGCGTCTCGGTTCGGTTCATTCAGGTTTACGGTTGGACTGGGAAGGGATGCTACACAAACGATTAAGAAAAATGTCCCTAGACGCTTCTAATTGAACATTCACCATTCATGTAGTGTCAATCAGAGCACCCACATGTAATATCAATCATAATGCACACCAAGTGGTCGTTAGTCAGTAGAATCACCTTAACAGGACCATGCATACCCCCAAGCATGCTTTAATATTAGTGATATAATCCCATGGTCCTCTAACTTGCGTACCCTGGGAGCCCACCCCCATTCGGGCAAAATATAGTTAGATATAAATATTTTACATAAAATATTTTTATTTCTCATAAGAATTTTTCCATGATAAATATCATAATCCGGGGTACACAAGGGGCCCCCACTCCCACCGTTTACGGCTCATTGATGACATTCTCACCATGTGCGTGCTATCAACCTAGGTGATCACGTTGTCCCAACTTCCACACAACAATCACATATCATTATACCAAGTAAATTATTTACAACATTTGTTAGTGCAATATATATATACACATGAAAATAAATAAATGCAAGATTTAAAAATAAATTATGCGTTCATACATTTGGTAAAGTGTTATATATAATAAATACTCACAGAGAGATCTAGAAATCCTAGCCTTATTAAGCTCCAGGAGGGGAAGAGGAAGAAGGTTCCGCTCTATCACCAGCTAAAGAAATAAACAAGATCAAATCAATAATTATTTCTACTTATTTATAGAATTTAATTCATATACTTAGAATAATAATCTAAAAATTCGACCAAAAATTCGGCAGAGTTTTCCCTAAAAGTTCAACTTTTTTTCCTGATAAAATATCCACAATTCACAATAATATATAAAGCCCGTCCGTTGGGCAACATCCATATCAATAAAAATTCATCCACCATTAACAACATTCATCAAAGTCTCACCCATAATATCCAACTATATAATTTGATGTTAATTGCATCAATATCCAATAAAATTACATTTCCAATCTTTATATATATATATAATAGTTATTTTAGACCGAAAATATTGTTTTTTATTATGGAAAACTATTACACTGATTTGAAACTAATATATATATAAATAAAAATAGAAAAATAAATAAAAAAGATATATAAAAATAAAAAATATGTAAATATAGATAAGAGAAAAATTTCAAAAATAATAACTAATAACTATCTTTGTAGAAATATAAGAAAAAAATTAATTTATTTACTTATATATTGAGTCTGATTTTCCTAACAAAAAAAGAGTTATTTTTATTTTGTTTGGAAACAAAAACTGGGAAATATTAATCATTCAACAGTCCTCATTAATTATAATAAAAAATAAAAAGAAACAGTAAAATACACGTGTTCTATTTGTTCGTGTTTCGCATGATCAGGTGTCCATGCCATTCAGGAACTGTATTCATGCAGTTGGAATTTGGCGTAGTTTAGTGCATGTTCGTGTTTGGCATCTCTTTTTTCAGGAAAATTGTTCTGTCTATTGTTTTTTTCTTACAGTTGAGAGTCCTTAGCCTTTGTCGTTTGGTGTGGCTTGTTGGCTCATTTAGAAGAATCACAATGCATGGATTCTCTGCGGTTCTGGTTCAGCTGTCTTTACTGTTATGCTGTATGTTGTAAATTTCGGTTGTCCCTTTTTCCAGCGGTTCAACTTTAGGTTTAGTGGATTTAATGGATTCCAACTAATTAATTTATAGCCTCAAATCCAACTTAAATCTCAAAGAACTCAAAATAAATAAATAAATAAAAACCGTTATACTGTAAATGCTGTCAATTAATAAACACAAGATGAACACTCTAAATTTATATTTAATTCACCTATTGAGCTAAATCAAAATAGAAATAAAAGTTGATTGAACAATAATGAAAATAATATATTTAAAAATAAAAAGAGAAAGAAAAAGAAACAAAAGAAAATAGAGCAAAACTACTAAAAGAAAGAAAATTAAGATAGGCGTGACCAAATTGTTTAGTTGCTTTACAACCTCAACTTCCTTATATAGATAAAAATGAAATTCAAAAATTTTAAAATTATATTTGGAATTTTAAAATTATATATTTTTACATTTCAAACCAACTAAAAATAAATTTTAAATACTAAAAAGATACTGATAGGATAAATTTTGTTACCTTAATCAATTATATATATACTGATAGGATAAATTTTTGTTACCTTAATCAATTATATATATATATATATGAATAAAAAAAAATATTTTCCTAAACTAATTATTTATCTAAAAAAAAATAAAATAAGATGAACTCTAAACTTTGTAAAAAAATAAAAAAAAAAAAAAAGAAAAATAAAGATAATAGAAGGAGAGAATGCCAAGTCAGCTTTGTAGAGATATTTTGTGATTCAAGGTTATAGATGGATATATAAATATAGATAGATAGATATTATGATACGTTTGTGGAATCCATTTTTTTGGTATAATTTGACTTTAATTATAATCAATTTTATAAATTTGAATTTTTAAAATTAAAATTTTAAAATTGGTTTCTACATTTAGTGAAAGTAAACAGCCAAAACATGCTAAATTTTACAAAAAATTATTTTGTGGAATTGAACCAAACAGGTTGTTAAAGAATTATCTTATTTAAAAAACTTCACAGGGTTAAAAAAAATAACTTAATATATTATTTCATCCTCAACTTTAAGTTTTATTGCATAATTTACTTTGATTCAATCTTTATGCCAATTTCACCGTGAACTTTAATATTTTATTGTAATTTTACTTCAATTTGTCCTTTGTATAAATTTCACTATAAACTTTGATATTTTATTGCAATATCACCCTAAATTATAATTATGATTTAAATTGTAAATAAAAAATAGATTCACTCTTGACCTTGAGTTTAGATTAATTTAATACATTTGTGTGAACGAAAGAGTTTGCATTAATAGTAAGGACAATCTCTGTTATTATTTTTAATATTTTTAAATTATTTCTTTTATTGATAATAAGTAATATTTAAAAATTAATTATTTGATACATGTAATATTTAAAAATTAATTATTTGATACAAGAACTTTTTTAAAAAATAAAATATAATATAATTATTATTATGACTTGATTTTAATATAAATTTTAAAATAATTATAAAAACTAAAACAAAGCTAATTGCAATTTATTTGACTCATAAACTATTAGAAATTGTAACATTTTTTTTATCAAGGTAGAATATAAAATATAATTATATTCTAATTTTTTTTAAAAAAATAAAGCATTCATGTATATAAAATTACTTTTTAAATATTATTTATTACCAATTACATAAACAATTTAAATATTAAAAAAAAAAATAAATATGGTTTTTACTATTAACCCAAACTCCTTCACTTACACAAATGTATTAAGTTAATCCAAGTCTAAAGTCGAGTGAATCTATTTTTTATTTACAATTTAAATCCTAATTATAATTTAGAGTGCTATTGCAACAGAATGTCAAAGTTCGGTACGAAATTTGTATAAAGGATAAATTGAAGTGAAATTACAATAAAATGTTAAAGAAAACTTAAAATTGAGGGTGAAACAATATCTTAAATTATATATCAAAATGTAAAAAATTATATATTAAAATAGCCAATCAACTCAATCTTATATACGTTATAACCAATAAATTATTATTAGTATTAGTTGGTAAGTGTTAGAAAATTTTGATTTGTCAATAGCTGTACTACAATCGTAACTTTGTTTTGAAATTATGTACGTTACGATGCATGTGTGCCATCTTTCAACAAATTTTACATAGAACGACACGTGTAAAAATTGAATTTTATTTTATTAATTATTAGTGTAATTACCATCATTTATTTGCCATTTTATCTTCAAATTTTTTTTCCTTTATAAACAAATAGATTAAGAAGATACAATTCCTATTATTTTCTTAGCATCCAAAAGAGAGAAAGCAAAGACAACAACACTTTGTTTAGCTAAATGTCTGCAACTCGGTGAGTTATGTTTTTGTGAATCGTTTTATTTCTCAGTTGGTTTATTAATTTAATCTTTTTCCCCTTTGCATTTAATTATTAATCAATAGTTAATCTATTAATTTATGGGTTTTATATTATGATATGTATTTTTTAGCCTTTTTTTATCATTTTTTATATCTAAATTCTTAAAAGAATTGAGAATTATTAAAATCTCATCATTTAAATCTCTTATCTATCTTGTATTAAGAGATAGATAGATAATCGTAATGTTTGAATTTATTATAATCGATGTTGCAGCTAATTGATTTGCATAATTCTTTCTTGAACTATTTAAAATGATAATTTTGAATCCATTTACTCTTTGAAAAAAAAAAAAAATGAAGAAGATTGATTGTTGTTCTTGGTAATAGAGATGGGGAAGACATGAATCCTACAATGAAGTATGAGAAGTATGAAGCTGAGTATGCTCAATATCTAATGGGAAAATATTTCTCTGACAAGAGCTTATGTGGAGGTAATATTATTATTTTTCATATAATATAGGATGTTGTTAGAGATTTTCTTTTTCTAAAGTTTATATTGTTAAAATTTAAATCTCACTGATAACCATTTTTTCGTTTCAATTTTTCTTTTTTAGTTAAGGTAAAGTAAATAGTTGTCCTTACCATAACAAAATTATTTTTTGGTATTTATTAATATAATTTGATTTTCCAAAAAAAAAAAAAAGAAGAATGGGATATAAGGAAAAATTTTATTTTTTTTTAAAATACAAATAATATTGGACTTTGAGGTATAAATATAAGTTGAAATTTTCTTATAATTTCCACAGGAAAGATCTTTGATAATGAAGTGAAGATTGATGACCAAATCATCAAGTCAAGCAGGTCACAATAATTCCTTTTTGCAATAAATAGTTAATTTTCATTTCTTGTTATATCTATGTATATATTTTTATTAAAAAAAAAAAACTTTTTTTTAGGTTTCCTTGCATGCAGTCCTATATAAATCCAGTCCAAGCCTTCTCATCTGAAGAGAGCAAAGGAATAAGTAGTTTCACTAACAGTGCATATGGTTCTTCCAGTTTCAGAACCAGTAATCTCCAGGATGAAAACAAGCCATCATCAAGTTTTCTTCCAGCTCTGAGCTCTACTAGTATCCCATGTAGGAAACCTAGATCCAGGGTAGAATATTTTTAGTTTAATGCTTGTTTGGTTTCTTGGAAAATTATTGCTTCCCGCTTTGGAACGTTGCTTCCATTTGGTGGTCACAGCACTTGGTTCATAAATGTTGATGTTTTAGGTAAAACTTTGACGGTGGTTCTGGTTAAAAATGTAAAATCACATAAAAATATAATTATTTTTATATATAATTTATGTATTTCTTTTAATATTTACGATGGATGTATTATTTTTTATTTTGATATATTATATAAATAAAATATTAATTAATTTTTAATAGCATTTAATATAAATTATCTATTTTTAAATAACTACAGATAAAATAATTATAAAAAATATTAATTTAAAAAATTATTTTATTATTAATTTTATAATAAAACTATATTACAAATGAGGTAACAATTATCGTAACTGATAGAATTAGTTCATTAAAATTAGCAGTTATGAGCCACGGATTTGGACTATCGGCTTAGCTGAATTAAAAGGCGATCTTAATAAGGAAAACTAAAACTAATCTTTATTTAAATTTTATTTTGGAAATAAATAAATAAGCCACAAAGGCTAAAGTTAGTGGCCGTGGCTCGCAGTGTCAATAATTAATTCGTGAAGTGCGCGTTTTTGCGCTCTGAAATTCAAATCACACATTTTCCTTCACCACGAAAGAATTTCTCGAGAACCAAACAGAATTTCGCGGTTATGTTCCCAAAAAGGTGAAATTTAGGTATGTGTTCCGCTTCCCAATCGTCCTTTCCTGTTCCAATTCTTTTCGCCTTCTCTTCTTTCAACGCTTAATGTATTTACAATATTATGTTTGTGCTTACTAACCATAAACGCCATAAGCTTATCTGCTCAAATTTTTATTTCTTTTAAGCATTTTAGAAGATTATTAATTGCATTGCATAAGGTCTGTCGCATTTTGATCTTGCAATGATGATAGGTCCATCTGCAGTTTTAGGTTAATTTTGGTATTCTAGCTGATATTAATATTATGTTAGATAGAGAAGGTGTTCAGGCCTCTGATTATTTGGGTTAAGTCGTATAGAAAACTTAAGAACAAGTTTAATTTGATAATTTTATTTTGTAGAAAGGATTTTTGAGTACCTCAAGACCCCTTTGATTGCCTAGAATTTGTAGCTTATGCCACTCACTGTCCAATTATAATTCTAGAAGGTTCGGTAGTCGTTGGCCAGCAATTATGTGCATACATGAGAATTTGCGGGAAAGAGTTAAAAATGGATGTATGTATTGCAGTCTATACTATGAATTTTTGGTCAGTTATAGATAATTCACTTACATTGACTGTTTGTCAAGAAGTTATGGTGTCGGGCACACTTAGAGTAATTTTCCCTTGTGTGGTTTTTTTTTTGGCAAGCTAATGCTTTAAACAGAAAGTTATGCAAGACCAAGAATCAAGACAGGTTGATTGCTTTTAGGTTAGCTTATTTAGGCCAGAATAGAAAGTTGCAGGAAATTTTAGAAAGGGAGTCGAAAAAAGTATTTTAACTATTTTTTTGTTGTTTTTTTTTTAAAAGGTTCAAGAGGCAGAGAAGTAGTGAAATGTGGTTGCCTTCAATTAACTAGAATGGAAGTTTTGTTGCTATACATTATGCGATGAAGTGTAGTCTAAAGTGCATACACCAAGAAAAAGGGAGAGAAGTCATACAACAATTAAAAAATTTTACACAAAACTCAACTTCATGACTAACTATCAACTGTAACTCAAATCAATGTGAAGAGTGTGTACATTGCTCAAATGTCTATTAAAGATCAGGATCATAACTGCAATTTAAAGACCATTAAAGACCCTAAATTTTGATACCTCAAGGGAATGCAAACGAAAGGTCAAGTGGTCAACCATGTTGGAAAACCCAATGTGTCCCCTGTCATAACTCATGTGAAAGCATAAAAACATACATAAAATGAGTAGCTGCAGACTAATGTTCGAAGATACTAGCAAGGACACTTTTACTTTGGGTAAAATGTTTTTGAATCGCATGGAGCCAACAGTTCCATCCCTATGTTTCCAAAATTGGCTGCCTCTCAATCAAGCAATGGATTTTCCAGCAGCACATCATGCAATGATCAGAATACTTGGTGAAATTATATCTTGAATTTTGTCAGGGATGGCATTGGAGTCCTTCTGTTGCAATATCTTGCATGGACTTGGGCCTCAAGAAATTCTTTTTTGAGAGATTGTGTTAGTGGCTTTAAATCCGTTGAACATTGATCAGCTAGACTTCTTTTTAGCGTCTTAGAGGTGGAGCTAGAAAAGTTTTAGTTTGTGGAAATCTTTCCTTATGCCTCAATCACTAAGAAGAGAAGCCTGATTAATATCCAATCATGGATGATCTTGTATTACAAAGACACTCAGGGAATATGTGCAAATTTGTTTTTTCTCATTTGCTGCGTTCCAGTTTACTTAATCCTCTGTTTGATGGATATGGAAGGGGAAGATAGAAACTTTTTATGGAAATGGACTTTATTGTGCACTAATTAAATAATAGTTTAATTAGTAGCCTTAATCTTAGTGTTTGAGACGGAAGTTGCCTACTAAAGTATTCCCACTTTTAGGTTGTGGAATCTTTGGAAAAAAAAATTTGCCTGGTTTTTTTTGTTTTGCATTCACTTTTCTTCTTTGATGACGCATGAGCGCATGAATTGCACACTGTTTTTTTCCTTCTTATTTTTAAAGTAGGAAGAAAGAAAAGTGATTATGGGATTCATGAACATGGCAATGAATATACTTTAAATGTATAATAACTGTGAGAAAACTGGAAACATGACTCATTAAATTTGTAAAGGTCAGCTTCTGATCTAGCAACAGCGTGGACATAGAGTCAAACAGGGATCTACAGGATTTTGTCATGAATTTGTTTGGCAGCTAGAATCAAGTTTTTATGGATGATTCTATAATCTGAATTGGGGTTTTGATAGTAAGCTACCTAGATATATGATGTTTGGAAGATCTTTTTATGAATAATAATTGATTAAAAGAGAAAAAGAAAGAGAGGAAGAATTACGGAAGCATTTAATGAATGCTCTCCTGGAATGATATGTTTTCTGCGTAAGAGAGATGTAATTGTACAAAATAACTTAGACATGACCTCTGCTGGACACTATGCTATAAAGGAGATACACACGCCCAACAAAATTCAGTCAAAGAAGCTCTCAAGAGCGAGGAACAGTAACTGGGATTTAGTGGATAGCTTTTCATATGTTCTTCTTGATATAGCAATTTTGTATTATAAACCAACATTATCCATCATCGTTTTTTTCTGTCATGTCTAACTTACTCCTTCCCCTGTTCTATGATACTCGAGGGAAATATTTCCTTTTAAGTGAAAATGCATGGAAATTTGTTTAGTATGCTGCTCTTATTAAGCTTGTAATGTCTCTTTTTTAGGTCCAAAGTTTAAGTGGTCGTTCATAGTTCAGGGCCAATTTTCTCTCACATGATTTCAGAGATAGGGTCAGTATGGAGTCTTTTACAAATTTCTAGCAGGTGATGTAATTTGATTCCAATATGCACACATGGTTATGAGCCACTTTATATTTACAGGTAAGAAATAAAGGAGACCTTTATGATGTTGTTCTCAAGTAACTTGCAGAAGAACTGAAGAAGATCAAAATATAAATTTGTGACATCATAATCGAGCAGTGATTTAAATTATATCCTCAATATTTTATTCCACTTGTTCAATCTCATACACTTAAAACTGAGGCTAGGAGCCTAGGAAAGATCGAATTGAAAACAAACAGAACCAAAAATAGGGAAAAAGGTAAAAATAATAATAAATATGTTGCTTTCACCTTAGCCTAGCATATCTGTAGAACTTGTGATAGACTGGTTTGAGGATTCTCCTCTGAGATAAGCAGTATTACAGGGTATGTCCTCCAATTCCCTCAAAGTATCATAAGGGCTATTCAATTGCATGTCACTAAGCATTTGCCGTAATTCAGAGGCTTCTTCTTTTAGTTGAGTATTTTCTTGAACAACTCGGTCATGACACTCAGACACATGGTTCAGCTTATCTATAAGCTGGTGATTCTCATTTCGGAGCCAAACTACCTGTGACCAGAGCTCATCTAAGTGTTTCTGCTTTCGCATGCGTGATCGGCGAGCAGACTCTCTATTAGATATCATCCTTCTCTGTTTCCTCTCATTGATAAGGGAGAGTTGTTGCTCATCCGCTTCATCAGAAGTTGAGTTGTTACTTGGACATGATGATTGTAGGCTGAATTCTTGAACTGGAGGAGAAATTTGGATATTATGAAGGTTATTGAATCTATTAAATGGAAATGTGGATGTGTTACTTTGAGTCATGCTAAAGTAAGCTGAATATGGGGATGGGTTTGAGGACACTAGATAATGGAGTCCTGTAACGTCACTAGGCTGCATGGCTTGATCGGGGTGAAAATCTTTTGAAAATTGGCCTCAGAAAGAGAAGGTGAAATAGATTAATTTGATGTTAGATTGAAGGAGGTTGCAAGCCTGAAGAGAGGCAGCCTTTTATAGAGTGAGAAAAGGTTGAGGTGACCCCACCGTTGGCAATTTGGAGTAACAGTAGGAAAGCTTCTTAAAACATAGACCACAAAAATATAATGCAGATTATGGAGCATTAGTGCATGTATGTATGATATGAAGCATTCATAGATGCGATTCACCTGTTAAAAATTGTTTCTTGCTTTTATGATCATGTTATGGATATATGCATATATGCATGCACTTGATGTCATGATCTCATTGCTGAATGTTGCAATTTTTGTTGTGGATAATCATCTTGGGATCAAATTGTGCTTACATAAGGGAGAAAGATGGGGTTTATATTGTGGGGAGTATAATTATTTTAATAAGGAAATGTACCAGCTAAAGAAGCAAATGAGAGAAATAGGGTACAAGAGTCAATCTTTAAAGTGGAGGTAACCCAAGTTTACTCGGAATAGTTTTTTACTTGAATGCTCATAAACCAATAAAGTCTTGTGACGTAAGGAATTGAAACAGAGGGAAAAGGAAACCCCTTTTATATAACTATATTTAGGAAAGATTATATAAAGAGTTGATGACTCAACAACCACTTCTAAGAACAAACAACAATAGATAAACAGTAGATCCATTAGATTGAATCTGTAAGCATGGACTCTCATCTGGAGATTGATTATCAAGTACCATTCTAGGTATTTCATGGAATGGAAATTATTAGGAATTGTGCCAGAGCTACAGATTTAAGAGAATTGCTGCAAGATATAAACCTGCAAATCCAGAGCTTTTTTTTGGTATTAGTTGGCATTTTGTTAAGATTTTCTTGGATATCATTTAAATTTATTTTTACCACTCATGAGATAAGTTTACCTTGATTAACAAAATGAAAAAACTTAAATATTTGTTGGAAAATGCGTTAGCAGAATTCAACTAAAGGTACGATCCAAGTGCGAGCTCTGATTTTACATATGATGATATGAAAACAACCGCAATCTATTGGTTGTCCGTGGATTATGTATGAGAACACTAAAGGAAAAGGTTTGGCAAGTTTAAGTGTAGTAATCAGTGGTCCAAGGTATTTAATAACAAATTGGAAAAGGGCCAATAGTTTTTGATTGCCACATATGTATCCAAGTATATTTGGTACAATAAATGCTGACATATTAGGAGGATAAATTTGAGTTTAGGGCTTTGATAGTGGGTAAATAGTGATCACTGACTGAATTCTATTAAAGGAAAATGCTTTAGCTTAGATTATAATTTTTTTTACAATATAGAACCAAAAAATTTATTGCTGATTCCTGTAGAAATTTGTTTTATTTGCACAAAAAGTAAAGAGATGTATGACTGTTAATTTTCTCTTCTCCCTTCGGAATCTACTTGTTTCTCTAAAAATTCACGACAGCAATTGTTACTTTGTTCATAAGATGCAAGGTTGCACTAGAAAAGGCACATTTGATTTATCTTAGTAGTGCGTTACTTTCACTCACTTTGTTAACAGTAATGGCCACCCAAGAGCACTAGTTCGAGGAAGTAGTATTAGTACACCTAAAAAAATCCATTTCAAGTGTGTAAGATACATAGGTCAAATTCTGCATGCTCTATGTAGAAACATGGAGAGGACTAGCTTTTGATCTTGCTACACCATTTAGCTACTCTTGCAAAGTATAATAATCTTGTATATGGGTGGTGGTGGTGGTGGTGGTGGTGGTGGTGGTGGTGGTGGGGAGGAAAAAGGAGGTGTGTTATATGGATGTACTTTGAAAGGTTAGTCCTCCACTAAATAAAAAAGCTCTCTTGGACATCAGGAACCAAAATCTTACCCAGGCAAATGTTCTCTTTCCTGACTTAAGGTTGGGGCAGGTTGAGTGGACCAAATAGTCAACAATATCATTAGACAGATTTAGACTTGTCTTTCTTTTCTTGTCTTGTGATTGCCCTACCTTGCTGCATTTTTCTTTATTATTATGTAGTATTTCATTTTTCTCTGTATTAACCTTGTGGCAATTCAGAGTATGAAGGTGGATGAGTTGTTGACGACTGACATTATGTAATGTTTTTTATTGTACTTTTATTATACACTGTAAGTTAGATATTATCTAACTGGACTATGTTTCACCATTTGGGCATATAAGGCTTATTTTGACTGCATTCTTCTGTTTAAATGCTTTGCTTTCTGTATGATAAAATATAATATATTTAATGTCAGATGCTCGTTAGTGCATAGGTATGGATAATTCCTAACAGAAAATCTGTACATCAGAATTTGACTTACACTTACATTTCCTATTCTTTGTAAGAACCATTTGTCCTCTATACCTATATTTCTCTTGCCACATTACTTGGTCTTAATTGAATAACTGAGTTCCATTTCTTGTAGTTTTCTCTCACTGTGAACCTGACAAGTGGCTTTCTATTACAGGGGTTATTTTTTATATTGATGGGTGGATTAATTACCTTAAGAGATGACGATCCAGTCGGACTTTTGAGGTTTGATCCTTAAAAACCCTCAAACACTCTGGTTTGCTTCAATCTACAGCTTTATATATATAGTCTAGCATTTCTGCATGTGTGCTTCCCTAAATTTATCTCCTCCATGATATGATAATTTTTTTGGATTTGAAATGATATAAAATTGTCAAATCTACTATAGGCATGAACTTTAGAGATGAAAATAATTTGGAAAATTATAAGGTTAATTTTGTTTTACCATGTGTCACAACTAGTAACTTCCCAAGGTGGGAAGCGTCACGCCTGCAATAAGTTTTATCATCATTACAATGAATCTCAAATTGGTGGCTTAATTATTAGTTACAAGTAATATATTGCCTGGTTTGAAGGGGGAATAACCTTTTGATTTTCGGCTAGCCTATATGCCTGCACTTGTTTGGAGAGATCACTATAAATGATTAAAGTGTGTCGTTTTCAATCCATAAATATTCAGCCAGAGCTGCTCCTTGTATTTTTTAGGAATTAATTATTTTATTAAAAATAAACAATTTCAATTTCAACCTATCCGTAGTCGAATTTTTTTTTTCCAAAATTTTCTACTTTTTCCAGTATTTTCTTTACCTCAGAAATTAGTAATGGAAAAATCTATTCTGATCTGTGAAGTTTGTCTATTCAAATTAAAAGCATATAGTGCAAGTGAATTGATTCCTTTTATAAAGTAGACTAGAGCATTCTCATGTTTCATACTTTTGGCTATGTAGCAGTGCATGCTTGTGTTCTATATTCTTTTGGCTAGTGTATCAATACATGCTTGAATCTTTTTTTCTCAAGACTTTTATTGAAATCAGTATTTCTTAATAAATCATCAATTCGGGATTTCTTTGGATTATTCCAAATTACTTTTGTATTAAAAACATTTCTACCAATGATTTTTTGAGTTGGAGAGTATTTTTTTTTCCCTTTTCGTTTATGGAATGAGATTATTTTAAATAATTTAGCCTTTTCTATTAGAAAAATGATGGTTTATAAAATTTTCTCATGCAAAAAGATAATGACAGAAAAAATAAATTGACTCTTACAATTTTCATAAAAAGTTTTTTGGCACTTTCAATTTTAATTGACCTATTGAATACTACAATTTATGAGATTTCATTTATTAAGCACTTTGATGCGGTAAATTATTTTTTAAATAGTTCACATTGTAAAATTAGATTGATTAAATATTTATTAAATAGTTAAAAAATATAAAAATTCTTATTTTAAAAGTTGTACTAATCCTACATTACTTTGATATTTATAATAAAAATCAAGAACATTGAAAAATTGTTATTATTATTGGGAGAGGCATATAATGATATCAAAATTCAAAACTTTAGAGTTTTATAATTATGTATTTTGCCGAAAGAAAATTTCCCGAAATTTACAAAATTTGACAGTAAAATCTACATTAGTTACTTGTGCGAACCTTGGAAGAAGGAAAAAATATTGAAAAAAGAAATTAATGTTTTTTCTGGGCTATCTTTTCATTTCAAAATAATCAAACAGGACTCTTCTCCAAAAAAAAAAAAAAAAAAAAACATTCGATCAGAGCATCTATTTTTGATGACCCCCTATAGGTTCGTTTAAATTCCTATTTTTTTAAATTAGTCACATTGTTAAAATTAGATTGATGAAATATTTATTAAATACTTTAAAATAACTATATTCTATAATAACAACCTTACTTATTAGACACAAAATCTTCTGCTACTAATTTCTAACCATTAATCACTGCTGCTTTCCATATTTTATACACATCCTAAGAACATTTGAAAAATTGTTTATTTATCTACTTCAGTGTGAAAGAACATAAAGAAAATAGATATCTCAAAATTCTAAACTTTTAGAGTCTTATAATAGATTTTGCCTCTAAGAAGAACGAACTTTCCCGAAATTACAAAATTTGCAGTAAAATCTACATTATGACTTTGGCGAACCTTGGAAGAAGGAAAAAATATTGAAAAAAGAATTAATGTTTTTCTGGGGCTATCTTTCATTTCAAAATATCAATACAGGTACTCTTCCTCCAAAAAAAAAAAAAAAAAAAAAACAAATCAAAACAAGACAGATTCTGGAATATCTATCATGAACCATCCATTAAGATTTGATGAGACCAATTTTGGTGCTGTACGTTAGTTTTTGAATCTGTAAGAGGACAAAATCGACCGGTAGTAACACGATTTAGCCTAAAAAAAAAAAAAAAAAAAAACAAATCAAACAAGACATGATTCTGGAATATCTATCATGAACCATCATTAAGATTTGATGAGACCAATTTGTGTGCTACTTTAGTTGATCTGTAAGAGGACAAAATCGACCGGAGTAACACGTATTTAGCCTAGAGGTAGACTTTCTAAGTTCTGCAAAACAAAAAAAATTTAGAATTTTTTTATAACCACGAATTAGCAACCGCTTTTTATAATTATTTTTTTCGTTTCTATTTGGATATAATGAATAAAAAATCAAATTATATTTTTTATATTTGAAAAAGGTAAAATTTTATAGGAAGAAAATATTATTATTATAATGATAATTATATACTGATCAGAAATTTAAAAATGGACAATTATTAAAAATTTGAGAGTATTTGAATAATTAAAAAAAAAATGAATCTCATTTTTTTGGTTGATTTTCTTTTTAAATTAAGAGCTTCCCAAAATCAATTGAAAATAAATTAAGTTTTACTTTTATTATTATTTCCCCCTGTTTTCCCAAATAAAGGAAAACTCTATTTTCAGCTATCTTCCATAGTTATTTCTCTCCTTCAAAAGAAAAAAAAAACCAAATAAAGGCTAAATAAAAGAAAATAAAATCCAAATTTTATTAAATCGTGTGGCTGAGCTTTATTAACCAAACAATAGTACAACATAAAGTTTTTTAACAAAAATGACTTCTTGAAATAAGTAATCATACGATCATGCGATTAATTTCCTTTTTCTCTTTATAAGATTTCTTTTAATATTTTTTCCCACCAACGGTAAAAGGTATACTTCCTAACGTGAAAGTAATGGTTGTACTTTATTTGTTTCATTTTACTGAAGTGAACAATCCTGAAAGTAAAAAACTCATACTGCATTTCCCCTTTCACTATCCAACCTCCTTGTCTCTTCTTTTCATTACCAAAATACCCCCCTACATTATAGCAAGTGCATTTTTGGGTAATGGTTTAATAATATGCACTGATAAATCTTAAAATGTTTGAACATTTTAATTTCAGCTTTTAATTAATAATTCTAAGTTTAAAATTTTACTAAGAAAGTTTGAATTATCATCTTGAGAATAGACTTTTTAATCTATGTATAATTTATCAAAATTTTTTATTTAGCATTCTAAACTAGGATAAGTGTATTGAAAAATTTTGATGACACGAGTTTAGATGTTTGACTATGTTAAATTTTTTTCCGAATTTTAATAGTAAAAGAAATTTTTGTTGATAAAATTTAGTAACAAATGTTTAACACAGATTCAGAACACAAATGTATAAATAAATAAAAATCAAAATAAAAAAATTAATATTTTAGTTACAATTTTTAAACATTTTTAAATTAGTTTTGTTAATGGAATCAAAACCACAACGAGCTAAAAACAAAGGAGAGGGTAATTTGGGAATGAAAATGATCTCAGGTTGGAACAATTTCCTAGAATAAAGGTTTGGGTGATGCACGGAAGGGTACTTGATTTGATTGCTTTTAACTTTAACATTGATGGTCTACCAAAATGACCAAAGAAACAAAAGTGACCGAGCACAGGCTCACTCTAACTTTTGTTTCTATAACAGCCTCTTCTTTCTGTTTTTAAATCAGATAGTAGTAATGCGAGAAAAACGCGGGCGCACGATAGATGTCGCATGTGGGCCATGCTAGCAAGCGCGCGTGGGATCGGTGTCTAATGCACAACCCTAATTCCCTATTGCTTAGCCTTTCAATTCAATTGCTGCCTTTAGAAAAATAAAAATAAAAGGAAAATTGCGCTCTCTATTTCATTCCCTTTAAACAAGATATATATTAAACTTTTATTAACTTTAGTAGTTATTTCTTTTGATTTAATGAATAATAATATATTTATTAATAAAGATATGTATTTAATAAGAATAATTTTGCTACGGATTCCACCGCGAAAGACACGGTCTTAGAATCCATATGTTTTCGTATTTTAAAATCTCATTTTTCAAAAACTAATGAGTTTCTCCAAACTTAGCCTCGTGGAGGTTGAGTTATATGTACGGTTTGAATTCCTTCCTTTAAATTTGACAAAAAAAAAAAGGAATAAAATATTTTTTTTTAAGAAAACATAAAAGATAAGATTATAGTTCGAGTAAATGGGGAAAAAGAAAAGGTACGCCTATATAGGACGGGGAGTAAAATCTGTAGGGCTATTTGGTTTGTTTGGTTGTGTGCATGCTCCTCTTTAGAGGCTCCCACGCCCATTAGGCAGGGTGCTTTGCAAGATTGAGGTGGTGGCCTCATTTGCATATTTATAAGTTGTGCACCCCACTTAGGCAACCTGGACAAATTTTGTTGGATGGTGATGCAAGCTGAGGGGCATGCATGTATAAAGCTTTTTCTTTTTTTCCCTTTTTATCAATTACAAATTTTTACTTATTATTAATGGGTTTACTAATAGAAGTATATCATATCAATGATTTTATAGTTATGTATTCTTGATTTTGAACATAAATCATTCTTGTCTATGTATATTGTTCATAGAATTTTTTTGTCAATTCTTTTCTCTGTGTATGTGTGGGAGATTTGATTGATAATTATATGTATGATTAGCATTTTCACTAATTGGGGATTAGGTTTAGTGCTTTGTTTATCATTATAAAGCTTTGGTTTCAACACATGTAAATTCACCCAATTTTGATTTTTATCAAATTGTTTTAAAGTTTTGTAGAGATTTAGCTAAATATTATTGGTTATGAGAATAACCAATTTTTTAAAAATAAAATTTTATATCAAATAAATGTTATTTGGTTGTTATATTAAAACTAGTAATTTTGATATTCTTAACATAAAATTGAGGGGAAACTATTTTACTAAAATTGAATTAAAATGAGAAATAAGCTAGATGAAGTAGAGACGGCAGCGGATTGAGTACCTATAAATTTTAAATTATTTGTACTAAAATATACTATCGATACTCTTTTTAAATTCATTTAAATATATTTTGACACCTATATTAATAATTTTACTACTCATACTTATTTCAAATTTATGTAAAATATCCTCTAAACTAGTAGGATACTTATAAATTTTAAACTATCTAAATCTAAATCTGTTCAAAATACTTAAATGGGCAAATGCTTATCCACATCAATAGGTGTAGAAATTAAAGGAAAGAATATGTTTTATTTCTTTTAATTGTGTTATCTTTTTCAACCTCTACTTCACTATATATATACAGAAAATTGTTCCAATATAGGAAGTAATCTAAATTGGAATAAATCTAAACTAGGAAACACAATCTTTACACTAATTAGGAATAGCTTATTTGCAAAATTTATGTAAAATATCCAATCTAAACTAGTAGTGTATTACTTTATATATTTTTAAAAAAAATCTATCTAAAATCTAAATCTGTTACAATAACTTAAATGGGCCTAAATGCTTATCCACAATCAATAGGTGTAGAAAATTAAAGGAAGAATATGATTTAAATTTCTTTAATTGTGTTATCTTTTCACCCGCTACTACTTGCACTATATAATATACAGGAAAATTTGAGTTCCATATAAGATGTAAATTAATTGGAAATAAATCCTAAACTAGGAAACACATCTTTAAGCAACTAT